CAGTTTTGAGATTTTCTAGTAGCTGACTTTGAGAGTTGATTCCGGCAAGATTAGTTGGTGTTATATGGAGTTGTTAAGTGGTAATTGTGGAGGAGGTTGAGGGCTTTTCGTTGATGTCAATATCCAGTGGTTTTGGTGGCCAAAAGGTGGTTGAAAATGGCCAGCAGACCGCGATAGGGTGGGGGTGAGGTGCAGGAAGAATGTGAAGTTATTTTGATGAGTTATTTGCACTTTTTAAAAAATTTGGGCCTATAGTGCAATTTATTTTTTATTTTTCTTTTCTTTTTTTGTTTTATTTAAATAGGAGGGTATAATAGTTATTTTATGTTAAAAAATTGTTGAAAAGCACATTCAGCACAAAGAAATGTGAGAGATAGGGGCAAAATGCTAAAATATGAAAGGTAAAAATGCTTTTCACAATAAATTTGAAAGATTGGGACGTTTTGTGCCAATTACCCCTCCCACCTATGCCTCAATTTTCAAAATTATACACACATACAAGAAAGTAAGAGTTTATATCTTGTGGTTAATACAAACAAATGCAATATATTGGAATCTCATACTGGCCTACAATCCAGCAGAGAATCATATAAGGGGAAAGGGGAGAGAAGAAGAGAAGATAGAGAATGGGGAGAGGGAGTGGAGAGATTGACGAGAAAGTTATGGAGATCAACCTCGATGGGACAGTAAAATGGTATGGCTTCAAAACCTTGTTTTATCTATGCAGTGACATTTTTGTTGCAGAGGACGTGAGTTCTGAGATTCTCAAGGACTGCTACCGAATCATTTTGATAACGGGTTATAATGCCTTTGACCATCAATGCAAAAGTCGCGATAGGTGACTCCCAAATGCATCGACTGCAGGGATTGTGCTTAGTGGTTGGTCTAGCAATTCGATCCGTTGTCTTGGTTTTGGGTCATAATAGTTCATTGATAGATTGTTTAATCGGGAGGATAAGCTTGTACTGGACTTTACTAAGAAAGAAAAAGACCCTATAACCCCTCTAGTACTGCATGCTAACCAAACATGACAGCTAACCTTAGTGGCTAAATGAATCGTAAAAAGGCATGAATTCATATCTTTGAATGACCGAGAATAAGCCTAAATTCTTGTCTCTTTATGACTGAAAAGTAAGCCTACAAATGTCAGCTAACGTTAGTGGCTAAATGAGTCATTAAAAGGCATGAATTCATATCTTTGAATGACCGAGAATAAGCCTAAATTCTTGTCTCTTTATGACTGAAAAGTAAGCCTACAAATGTCAGCTAACGTTAGTGGCTAAATGAGTCATTAAAAGGCATGAATTCATATCTTTGAATGATGAAAATAAGCCTTCAAATGTGTTGAGCTGACCGTAAGGACAAGATTTTGTTGGAACTCTGGTCAAAATTGAACGCGTTGCCCAAAAAAGACACGATTAAAGTTACGAAAAAAATTCAGAACCTACACGTACCACTCAAAAGAAGCCAAACAAAAAAAGCTCAGTCAATCTATTTGCAGATATTGAAGCTAAATTGAACAAAAGTACAACATTATTCTATTTGCAGGTGATACAATCAACCTTGAGCATTACAGATATTTTGAAATTCTGAGCTTTGGTCAGCAGTCCATTTCCTCCATTAACGGATGCCAAATATGAATAAAGAAACCCAAGGCAAGAAAATTATGCGTGGCTGAATTCAGATGGATCAGATCACGCCCTGGACCTCACTGCTAGGCCAGTCTCTACTTTCTTAATTTCAAAGATGAGCATCCTCCACATCTTAAGCACAAACATTTCGGCTTCATCATCCAATATACTCTGCAACCTTTCAAACATCTCACCTGCATCAACATGTTCTTGAGTGCTAGAAACGATATAGTCCACGAGCGTAACCTCTTCCTCTCCCAGAAATTCTGTGATCTTCTTTGATATCCATGGTCTCATTCTCTCTTGAAGTGCATTCTGTGAAGTGCAGGTGCATACAAGAATTTTATCAACCCACAATATGAAGAATTGAAGATAAAGTGAATTGTTATCGTCGTCGTTATCATCATCATCATCATCATCATAGCTAGTAATCTTTCTATTTTCTTTTAAATATCAATCCACAATACCAAGATATATATAATGAAATTATTCTAACCCGTAAAATAACACCTATTCATGTACATGAACAAAGTAAAAAGGGTTGCAAAGCAAAACTACGAGATCCAGGATTCCATCTTCCACTCTAAGGATCCAAGGCATTAACAAATTTGAAGAATACTTGAACTTTGCATGCTTTAGATTTTAGAGTTGCCATTCTATTGTCCTTTCTGCTCTCATGGGGTTTTTCCTGTCATATAAACTTGAAATAAACATTTCTAGCTAAGTTCTAATAAAATGAAAAAACAAAGCAAATCCTAGGAAAACCTAATCCTCATGAAACAAGGTCTGGCCTAACATAAGAGTTCAGTTCACTATATAGCATAGCTTGTAAAAGACATTCATCATTGAGAGCCCTAAAAGAATTATATGAAAGGTATTCCATCACAAAAAAAGCATCATTAAAAGAGAGAGAAAATCAAAAGTTTTAGGCAGGAGTAATGTTAATCACCTGATCATAAATTGCCCAATTTATCTCGTACGAAAACAACTCATCCTTGGTCTTTGGAATTGTGTCAATCAACTGTTTAGCATCAAAAAGCTTCTGCTTTTCAGGGGTTTTCACTTTATGTGACCTCTCTCTGTCATAGTTATCCTTTCTACTTTCGTCGCGACTCAGATAACTCTCTTCTTCATGTCTATCTCGATCTCTTTGGCTAGATCTCTCATGAGACCGTCTTCCTTTTTCTTTTTCCACAGGCGGCTTCTCCTCTTTAGAATTTGCTGTTATAACACGCTTTGCAAATTCTGCAGCTGCAGCCATATTTGATGATGGAGTCTCAGAAACTAATTGTTGTTCCTCAGTTGAGTAATCGATTGGAACCAGAGGTCTCATCTTCTTTTCCTTGTGCGCATCCTCGTCCTCATCCTCGTAAAATACAGAAGGGACTGCAGTTCGTTTTCCAGAACCAGAAATACCAAATCCTAACTTTCTAGCAGGTGCATTGATGTTCTGCCGTGCTTCAGATGCAGCATTAGATGATGTGTCATCTTCATCCCCAATACCATTTTGTAAAACTTCTTCACCTATTAATGAAATGACAAAGGCAATATAATAAAGAAGTTGGCGTAAATAGATCAACACAATCATGCAATAATGCAAGAAGAATTAGCAGTGTAGTTACCAAAACTGGGTTTGCTGTCAGAGATCTGATCGATAACCTTAACCTTGTTTTCGAGATTGGTTTCATCTGGCAAAATAGCTTTCTCATGTCCATTAGCTTGTTGACCAGATACAACTTTCAAGTCCTCCTCTTGCTGTTTCTTCTGCTGTTCTTCCTCAGCTTTCCTTTTAGCCTCCACAATCTCTTCGTCCTCTCTCAATCTATCAGCCAAGTCCTCTTCCTTTTCCCTTAGTCTCCTTTTCCTCTCATCATCACCAGTCTTATATTTTCTCTTTTTTCCATATCCATCATCATTATCATGCTCTTGGTCCGCAACTTCCCACTTACGTTCCTGTGCCCTCTCTCTCTCTTTTTCACGCTCTCTCTTTCGCCAGTGTTCTTTCTCCCTTTCCCTAGCTTCCCACTCTTTTTCACGTGCTTTATATCTACGATCATCTTCACGGCTCCTATATTCTCTATCCTTCTCTCTCTTGGCTCGTTCTTGCTCTCGTTCTCTCTCATATCTTTCAAGTTCCCTTTCCTTTTCTCGTTTCAGATCACGGTCTCGGTCTCTGCTCCTATCATGCCTTCTACGATCAGGTGACCCAGTTTCAGTCCTATCCTGCTCACTTGAGGGTTTGCTTTCAGCAGTTTTCTCATCTTCATTTTTTTCTTCTAATGAATCTGCAAAATGAAGTTGAAGCATGTAAGTAATGTTTCATGAAAAATATTGTTAGACTTGAACAGAAGAATTAATCATATTTAACCAACACAGTAGAGGATTGCAACTTTCATTCTTACAGTAGGCAGTACACTCACCATTTTTTGCCACATCCCCTTCTGGTTCCCTATCCCTTAACCTAGAAGGCTGCTCTGAGTTGCCAGAACCATCAACAGCCATTTGTGGGGGGGGAGGCGGAGGCGGTAGTGGTTTGTTCTTCAGCCTCTCCTCTATCATTCTTGTAAGCTTCTCAATGGCCTCTCGATCAGCTTCTCTATCTTCATCAATGACAAGGTCAAATTGTGCAGCATCAGTATCTTCCTTTTTCACTGTTTCGCTGCTATCTTTCTTTTGCTCATCGGATGTAGGCATTTGAGATTCTTCAGAAGGCTTTAAAGTGTCATTATTTTCAGCTCCTGAAGCACTTTCTTCCTCTTTTTTAGCACCTTCAATTTCTGATTCATTGATGATCTTTGAACTCTCTGCTTTTTTCTCCACATATTGTTTAAGATATTCCCGAGTTGCTTGATTAACATTCAACTGGAGATTATGAAGTCCAGAATATCAGTCATACAAAGTTCTTTCCTATTTGTTTTACAGGAGAGAGGAGGGAATTTATAGCAGATGCATCAGTGATGAGCAATTAAAATCAAAACTGACGAACTAAAATGAATCATAGCAAGCTAGATAAACATGGAATGGAAGTATGATAATAGATAAAAGTATAGTGTACAGGACGACCAAACACGGCAGGCACGTGTAATTGAAATGTAGAAATACCAAGATTTTATTAGTTGTATTGAAACAATTAAGCCAGGAATTTTATCTTGTAGCATAAGTTACTTAATCAACTTCTTTCAATAATGGTAACCTTATCTACCAGAATACTGTAAGTGTAATAAACGGTAAATCTGACCGAGATGTATAAAAAGCAATAGGGGAGATAAAAAGATTCATACCATCAACTCTTGTCCGTCAACACTTAGTTTATTGAGTAGCCGCAGTGCACGAAGAACCCCTTCAGCAGACTCAAATTCACAAAATCCATAACCTTTTAAAGTTCCATCTGTGGGATCTTGAGGACGTTTCCAACTCTTGACAGGTCCACACAGCTTCAGAAAATGAAAAGGTCAGACTTCGTTGATATGAGTGCTAAAGTTAAAAGTGGGGAATACAAATTTGAGCTCAACAATTAGTAGGAGAAGAAGAAGACTAAAGGGTGAGGGAGAATGCCAAGGATAGACTCTCGTACTTGCAGGAGAGACAGGATGAAATCATTTTCCACTGTTGATGATATCTTGCCCACATAAACAGTTGTCTGTGGCTTTTCTGCCAATGTAACACTTGGGACTGGAGGTGGCCTAATAAAGGGAGAAGTAATTGGCCCACGTATCCCAGCAACTGGAGGACGTAGCATCGGTGGAATAACACCCATTGGTCGCGGAGGAAACGCAGGTCGAATCATTGGTGCATATGGAGAGGGATATCGAAGAACTCCTGCATAAAGAGAACACAAAAATCTATGCAGATTTGTCAGAGCGTGTTTACAAAATATTACAATTAGAATGTTCTTACATTGCACTGAAAAGGAGACAAAAAGTAATCTAACAAGAAAAATCAGCTGATGTTACCCAAAATGTTAGAAGCAAAACAAGATGGCAGTAATGGCATGACAGCACTCACCAGTTGAACAAATAACCTGAATGTACATCAAGACAATAACACTGGACTCATAAACCAGGAATATGTGAGCTGGGCATACCTTATGCATCCACTTGCAGAACAGAAGCTTTGACAAAACTACCCCAATTTCAAGCACTGAAGGTGACGATTTGAATTCAGTAGTGAGATGAGATTACCAATGTCCCATCCACAAGTCAAACCAAAACATTCGAGGGCATAAAACTATTATTTCATTGTCTACACTCTTTAATTACAATAAACATTGAAAAAGGATCTCGAAGGAATAAGAAACAAAACCCAAACTGACTGATTCTCACGGGAGTCATAATAAATGCAAAGAAACAAAATCAAAATTGTATGGTTGAGAAGATTGTGATACCTTGGATTATAGAGGCAAAGGAGCACTCAGTTGTTAACTTAATGTGCTGCCGGCAATTCAGAAATCAAAATCCCATAAAGGGGCAAAACATCCTTATGACTACTAGCCTACTAAATGAGCATAGCACAATCAAACAATATTTAGTGTGACAATTGAGAGAATCATATTTTTTAACCTATGACGGTGACGTGAAATTATGAAACTATTTTGCCATCGTTTTTGATTTATGCATCAGAAGCATATATATTACCACATGGCTAAAATATGGGTATGCAAAATAAAGATTAACAAATAAATGGGTGCATACCAAAAACGGAGTTGAACGGTGGGGTAGTCAGTGGTCCCTAATGAAGCCCTCCAACTTTTTTCACCGTACTCAATCATGAGAACACTGTAGGAGAAAACATCCTGTCATCGATACCCCTAATCCAACCAACACATTTCTCTCCACCCACGTATTACTCTCATTCTTCTCCTCTCAGTATCACGTCATAACATATTACTCTATACAAATGAAGCGAAAACAAACAAGAAGCATCAAAAATTCACTTTTCCACATAAATTATAGTAATTGTTTACTTATTTCCCGCTAAATGTTTTGATCCCATGAAATTTCAGATTATCATAACAAACCATAAACATTTGAAAAACATGATATCTAGAGGCGGTATAGAAATCAAGACAGACAAATAAAAGCTGAGAGCAATTGAGAACGAGAGAATTAGATGCGGGAAAAAAATTAATAATAACCCACCCGGGGGAGGCATGGCTCCTTGGGGAAGAGACTGAGGTATCCCCGGGTAACCATTTGGCAAGGGTGCATAGGGTCTCATCGGCTGACCGGGCACAGTATAAGGCGCCATCATCACAGGCATCGAAGCCACCGGAGTTTGTGGCACCCCACTCCCCGGTGACGGTGCAGGAGGCATCACCATAGGCGTCACGCCGCTCACCCCTGGCGGTGGAACTCCAGGTGTCTGATAATTCACGGTCGGCACCGGCGTGAATTGAGGAGTGGCTATGGAGGGGGGCGGTGCCACAGGACGGAAGGACGGCTGGATCGATGGAGGTGGAGGAGCGAGAACTGACGACGGTGGCGGCGTGCTAGGGTTAGGGTTCGGAGGTGGGGCTGACATTATGGAAGGTGGATCGGGTTGAGCAGGTTTTTCCGTAATCTGCTTGTCAGGTTCGGGTTGAGTCGGATTTGTGATGGTATTTTCCGGCGCAGTGGCTGTTTCCGCCATTACTAAGCTTTTCCTCACCTACTGGGTTTTTAGAATTGGGCCTAGAAATTGTATGCAGATTTTAGGGCAAAATGGGGTACAGGGATAAATATCAATTTATGCTTTTGTTTAGAAAAACGCGTGTTTACTTATAATTGGTTGGTGTACACTATGTGAGGCACAGCAGATTACATTTTTATCTTTAACTCTTGAGCAGAATTGAAAATGAGCTTGAAGGGGTAACATTTGATACGGTAAAACGAAAAGTTGGCAATCCAATGTTCAATGGGTAATTAGCATAAAATTTTATTACCTTTCACTATAATTGTACAAAATATTCTTACCTTCCATTTTTTTTGAAATAATCACCCCTATTTTCACTTTTTATTGTGGAAAAGATTTTTTTCATCTAATTTCTCAATAAAACAAATGTAAAACGACAAATGTACTCTCATATATATATATATATATAAGAGCAAATTACAATTATACTCCCAAACTTTTTTAAAACTACAATTGAGTTCAAATAAATTATTAAAACGGTAATTAACACAAAACGCTTCTGCATTTCAATATTATTGTGCAAAACGTCCCTACTTTTTATTTTTTTTTTTATATTTTCACACATATTTTCACATCTCATTGTGGAAATCATCATTTTTTCCATTTTCTCAATTAAAAGTTGTAAAATGATGAATATACCATCCTATTTAAATAAAAGAAAAATGTAGAACAAATTACAACTATACTCTAAAATATTTTTAAAAAGTACAAATAAATTTCGAATATATAATTAAAAATAAAAAAAATCACTTTCTTTTTTAATGATTTATTTGAAATTTATTTGTATTTTTTTTTTTTTTGAAAAATTTGGAAATATAGGTG